GGCCTTACTACTAGGAACAAGGACACTACTAGGAGCAAAGAGCATCGTTAATTAATGAAAAAAGGCACGGTTGACACCTATCTTCCCTCAGGAGAGTGCCATCAGCATCTTTGACCATGTTTCCCCCAAGCGTCTGCCAGCTTGGATGGTTTTCGAAATCTCCTCCAACATGTCAAGTGCAAATGGCGTTTGTCCATGACGAACCACATTGAAATGGTATGAATGGTCCAAAACTGCATCCGGCCTACTATACTGGCAATGAATACTGTCCACTTTCGTTCAAACCTCACACGTTACATTACATATCATTACACGCATCGTTAAATGCATCGTTTCTTCTCGTCTTTCAAACTCTCGATTCGCATTCGATCGCGCGATGAGTTCATAGGCTAGCAAAGGTTTCGTTTTGTGCTCTCTCCTCAAACTTCTCCAGGCTCGGGAGCTTCGCATTGTGGACAATAGGCCACACTTTCTCTGCCACCTAATGGGACCAAACGTGGAAAATCGTGACCAAACGAAAAGAGCCACGAAAAATCACCCTCTTTTGCACCAAAGACCTCCAAGAGCGTCCGCGTCCGCATCGCCACATTCCGTGCCAAATTTTCGTCGTCGTCCTGGCTCCAACGATTCAGCTCCGGGAAAAGAATGCTCCAACGATTCAGCTCAGGAAACATAGTTGTGTTGAAAAACAACGCCTTCAAGGCACAAGATAAAACTCACTGGGCAGTTGGCTCAGGCACTGCAGCGCTCCTGGCAGAGCCGCTCTGGGATTGCCAAGAATGCCGAAGTCTGCAAGGGTTGTCGGCTTTTTCGCCGGTACCTGCACAAATCAGGCGCAAACTACCAGATGTCCGCCGTCCTTTGCAAGATTGCCAAGAGTCTCCAAAAATACACACACCATGCAGCTGACCACGCGCCACGTGCGCCACCGCTCATTCACTCATAGGAAGAGGGCACACAAGCATGCACTGCGTGGCCGGCCCATCATCCGCGAATTGCGCAACAGGGTCCCTTTCACGGTGGCAGGAATTAGCCAAGCATGACACTCAGACGGCTTGGCAACGAACTGAGTGATTCAAGCTGAGTGTTCATCTGACTTGTAAGACGCAAAATTACAACATTCATGGAAGGTGGAAAGCGATCCACAGGCCAAGGCCGAGATTCTTTCGCCTCCAAAAGTCCTCCTCCAGCATGAGGGGCAACTGAGCCTCCCGGAAGACGTTGCTCCGGCAATGGGCTCGAAACCTCGAAAAGCAAGAAAATCAGGTGGAGGCCATTGCTATTAGGTTGGAGGCCATCGCTACTAGGGTGGAGGCCATCACTAAGATGCATGAGCAAAAAGCATAAGCAAATGCTGCTTAGATCGAAGCACAAACATTGCCAAAAACCTGCCTCAGCGCTTTCACACGGAGTTGAAACTTGCAAATCCGAATTAGCCAAGTAAATGACGCTTCTCATTCCAGGGGAGATCTTTGTTGTGGTGAATATTCTGCACAATGAAGAGCTCGTGTGATCCAAGCACCTTACAAAGAATAGGATGAATGATCCGAAACGAAAGAAAACACCGACGAGGACAATAGAAATAGAAACCCAAAAAGCTCCCGACAGTATGGAATGGCATCCATTTCTCCTGGCAGAACAAACATGAACTGACAGTACCTCTCAGACATTTATAAATACAGGACCTCCTTCCACTCAGTTGAGAACTGCTTGTCATTCTAAAAACTCTTCTCACTTTTGAGGTTTTGTGGGTGTTTTTGTGAAAAGCATGACCTGCCACTGAACTCTGGGCGCCTTCTTGCCAAGGTTGGGTTGAACCCAGGTGCGGAAGGTCTGCCAGAAGTTTGCCTGAGAACTTCTCCGTCGAGTCATTTGCTTGTAAGGACATGGCTTGCTGGATGAGTGGGGCTTGAATTGGGTACCAGTCAACATACTGGATCCCACCATGGCCATAGACAATACGTTGGGGATGGCCCAATGTCAAGACATATCAAGACTAAAAAGCAAAGACACGCAGAAAATACAGAGCTACAGGCAACGGAAAAGCACTCTCCAGCCTCACGCTCTGGGAGCTCCAAATCCTCTTGGAGACAACCCTCAGCTTCCATGCGAAGCTGGCACTGCATGAAGCGGAAGAACCTGGCACAGAATGTCGCCACCAAGGGGCAGAAAGGAGTAATTGAGACTCGTGCAGGTTTGTTCCATAACTTTCACACAAAAGGTGGCAAAAGAATTAGTACCAAAGTCAAGGAGCTCTTCAAGGGCGCGTGAGCTAGGCCTCGATTCGACCCACAGAATTACTCATGTGCTCCTTAAGTTAAAAACGTTGGTCTTGCTCTGGTGCAATTGAAGTGCAATTTACTGCATACAACTGTCCCTGTCAAGCCACACATCATTGGAGGAAGAGTTGGACATTGAGCCATGGATAGTGCGGCCCGCGGTGTTCCAAAACACTTCTTTGGGAAAAAGTCGGCATGGATGCATTTAGGTGTAGGATCATGTTCGCCTGCTGCAAAGACGATGCGCTCTGACGCGCTCCGACGCGCTCGATGGCTCCACATTTGTGTGATAAATCCTGATCGTGAGCAATGGATTGCAAGCAAACTCTCTTTCACAGTAATACATGCAGTTGGCATGGTCCAAGTGGTCTTGGCAAACCCATCGCTGTGTGAGCGGATAAGCCAGAAAAGCACTTCACCGTCCAAGCACGACATGTTGCCGAAGAGAAGCGCCACTACCTCCATCACTACCTCCATCTACCAATCTATCTACCCAGCCGCCGTTTTTTTCACTGGGCTTTAAGGCTTCACCGTGGACTGTGCTCGACTGGCGTTGCTCGACTTTGCTTAGCATGGCATCGCTTAGCCGTAGATGGTGAAAGGCTTGCCCATGGTCGACTTGATGTGCAAGCGCTTCACCTGGCGCAGCGCGAAGGCACAAAACCCGTCTTAGTGGTTTAGCCAGTTTAGCCAGTTTGGCTTGCTTCAGGGGTCAGAAACGTGTCTTGTGGATTCTCAATCAGGCTTTCCAGAATATGCAATTAATTGACTTCACCAACTCTTGTTCACCAGAAATATCAAGAAACGCAAAAATGTCTTGTTCAAGCTCCAGTGGTTCCACTCTGATCTTTGTTGCAAAGCCGATGAAAGCTGTGCCAAAGAAGCATTGTTCCAATTCTTCTTCAGCAAGGAGACCAGAAAGTTGATGGCCATCAAGCAATTCTGCCTACCAGATGGTCTCCAACTGACACATGTCACTTTTTATGTCATGTTTACAAACGTTCGTTTACTGGATAAACTTCGCTCGAAATCGACATCTCGACACATCTTCACAAAGAAGCCTATAGTTTCTCTCCACATGATGTGTGTGTGATTGGGTTCATAGTCACTCCGAGGTCCTCGAAATTCCTAATTACCATGGCCAAGAGCAAAGCGGGGTTTGGCTAGATTCATAAATGTTCAGAGCTTTAGAGCGAACTCCTCGGAAGAGCCATGGCTAGTCAGTTGACTGAGTGAACTGTTTTTCCAGAGACCTGTCCTGAGCTCATCTGGCGTCATCTGCACGTTGCCAACCGCCACACCCATGCACAAGACCTTCTTCAGCTGAAACTTCACCTCTGCTCTGAGCCCTTTGAGCGGAAACGCTCCACTGCTTTGCACTGCTTTGTCTTACAGTCTGTCAGAACGTTCTGGAGATCGTATCTTGCCAAGACTACCGAGACATACTAAAATTATCAGAAAACCAGTGCGCAATGTTGCACAGGTGTCTCCTTGAAGGAGTGTTGCTCATGTTGACCTCTTTGCACAATGTTCACTCTCTCGCTCGCCAATGCAAAGCTTCACGTGCTTTCTTTTTCCGTGTCACTCCGGCCTGACTCCTCACCTCTGTCACCTTGGTCTCCAAGTTGTCAGAGTGCTGCACCAAAGTCGGGAACTTTCCAGCCTGTCTGACCGTGCACTGCAAACAGCGGAAGAATAAACAAGCACAGAAAAAAACAGCTGTGTTTCGACATGGAAATGATGCATGTCATGTCATTCTCCATAGGAAGTTATGACCCGTTTCTTTTTAATATTATCGGCTGCGCATGTGTTTGTTCCGTGCAAAACATATTCGCCTTGTTGAGGCCAGGCCCTAACAATCTGGGAATCTGTGGAATGAGCACCTGAGCAGCGACATGCACAAGTCCTGCTCGTCTAAGGTGTCGTTTAGACTCCAATCGATTTCATTCAGGTCTTCTAGATTCTTCCACTTGGGCGAACATAAATACAAACAAGAACATCAACAACATCCTCACTCCACGTCTCTGTTCACCCTAAAAGCTATTAGGAAGGCCGTTGCCAGCGACCCCCACCATCTCGCACCTGCGAGGCCAGAAAGGCATCGAAGCTATCGGCCAGCCTTGGGCGCCCCAAGGGTCGGACCGACCAGTAGTTACTCAGTCTTCATCGTCAGTTTGCGACATGGAACCATCTTTCTTGCGACACGGCACTTCTTCACCATCTTCTTATTCTTGTTGAGTTTCTTCAGGTCCTTGACCCCGTCTTGGCCAAGAAACATTACATCAACATCCACAGGAAATCTGAACCCGGCACTAGCATGCACTAGCGGTATACCAGACTAGAATCGGTAAAGCCGTTGTATCAAACATTATCTACTTTCAAGCGGACCTTCTATCATGGAAATGATGCTGGATCTCCAGAAAGACTCTTCCCTTTGCAACTGGGATTGTTGAGTTTCCCCGAATCTTGAAGAATCGTTCACTGACTGATTTTGACCTCTTGGGCGCTCCTCGACGCTCTTGAAAGGGATGTTAGCCTCTGGCTGAACCCGACCAAGTCGACCAACTGAATGAATCGCAGAAAAATGTTTCGAAATGCACAACAGGGAGCAAAACAAATAAGCCCAAAAGGACTCGCTATTAGGTTGGAGACCATCGCTACTATAGGTTGGAGGCCATCGCTATAGTAGGTTGGAGGCCATCGCTATTTGGCTGGAGGCCATCGCTGGTAGGTTGGAGGCCATTGCTATTAGGTTGGAGGCCATCGCTATTAGGTTGGAGGCCATCGCTATTTGGCTGGAGGCCATCGCTAGTA